CTCTGGCGCCCAGGGCGACCTTTAATTATTATATTTTTGTTCTCTTACACCTTAGTCATTAATGTAGAAAAACAAATTAGTTTATTTTTGTGGACTGCAGCAGATTCATAAATTGTCTTCCAGTTCTGATGTCTGAATCGTGCTTCATTCTGATGATCCACACGGGCTCCATCCACTTTCCTGTGGGCAGTCTGTCTGCCCTGAACCCAAGACCTCAGTCTAGAGAGTCTGTCTTAAAATTGCTTAGTCTACGGGCTCTTTCTGCTCTGAAGAGTTTAATCATGCCATTGTGTTTGCAATTCACTTAAAGAAGGAAACTCTCATCACTTTCCCCACGCTCTTATTGGTCAGGATCGCACGCTTCTCACGGACTCTTTTATCAGGGACCAGACCTTCCACTGGGGGGGTGACACGTGGAGGTACCTCCCCTCCACAGGGAGCAGGTGACAGGGTTGCTTGGAAAGGTCCGTGTCTGTGTTTCTGGATCCTGACTTACAAGCCTATCACCCTTACTAAACTTCTTCTCATTCAACAAGCAAAACAAGAAGTCCATCACTTGGAAGCCTTTGGTGCACATGTTATGCTGTGTTTTTTTTTTTCTCGTTTCCTCCACTCACGCCCCCACGTGTGGACACAGACACACACACACAGGCTCTCAGTCCATGGAGGGCCAGGAGGTCCCCGAAGCCCATGGGACCAGGATGTGAGCACCCCCAGCAGGTGCCCAAAGCCTCAGGGATGACCCGGATGGAGGCTTACAAGAAGCCAAAAAAAAAACCACATAAATTAAAACTGCAGGAAATGCTCTAAGCAAAAGAAAGCTTAGACACAGACCAACCAATAAAGTGAGGGCCACGGGGGTGAGGAGGGTGGGAAAGCTGAGCCCCCCGCCCCCGCCAGCAAGGGAGGGGAGGGGAGGGTGCCGCCCTGAGGACGTGGGTCTGACCAGGGAGGGGCAACCGGACACAGAACAAGGACAGAAAGGATGGCACGAAGCAAAGGAAGCATCGCAAATAAAAAGAAGACGCGCAGCGTGTGCCTACCATTGTCCAGATAAGAAGGGGCCGTACCTTCTGACGGGTCCAGGCGGCGGGCGCGCCGCCCGTGTTTGGAGTTGTTGTGCACAAACATGTTGTCGGACACGGCCAGCACGTGGCCGTCCACGTTGACCGTGGTGGACACGACAACCTGCGGAGACAAGCGCCGGTGAGACCCGAGTCAGGCGGGAGCGCGGCCCCGCCAGCCCCCGGCCCCCGCCACTGCTCCCGGGGGCCTCCTCGGAGCCACGGGCGCGCACACACCGCCGTTTTTGGCTAATGGGGTGGGTGGGTTGTTTTGCTGTGACTCAAGATTGCTTCTCTTCCAAACCCGCTGCACTAATTACAGTTTAATCTCCTATTATGCTAACAAGTGAATTCAATTCAGAGGGAAAAATTCTTCTTCACCATTAGCTGCAGAAACACCCCTCCAGCCACTCGTCTTAAAGCTACCGTTTTGATTGATCTGTTCACATATTGATTAGATAGTTTATCTAATTAAAATGGGTTCACTGGAGACTGTCCTTCCTTGAGGAGCTGTGAGAATTCAGAGTTGCCCCTGCTTCTCTCCCCACCTCCCCCCCAAAAAAAGGCTTCATAAATCAGAAGCTGTTTCTACTGCCCACATTCTATCATCACATGAGCCTAGGTCAATGTCACAGTTACAGCCCCAGTCTGGTAATGAACATTTTTGCATCTGAAAAGACTGAGCTAAATAGGAATAAAGTGGTTTCCGAGCAGGGAAAGTATCGTTTCTCAAGTTCACGGTGAGGAAGGCAAGGACCACTCTGTCCAGGGAACGAGCTTCCTGATGGAGGGATGACTCGGCCCTGATCCAGGTTCAGGCCCTCCCCAGTCTCAGTACTTCACAGGAGTAAAGGAGGAAGTCACGCCGGCAGGGACAGCCTTGCTCCCACGGAAACCATCCCCAGGGAGCTTGTGACAAGCACCCCAGAATCGGTACCCTCGCCTAACTAACGACTCAGGAAACAGGAAATGACACCGGCCTTGAGATCCTCCTTGGACAGAGGGGCTCTGCATAATGCATTATCTCCGGGAGACCTGGGATAGCACAGACGTGAGCCAAAGCCTGGATCTGGGGTTCTTGTTCGGACAGCAGGGACGGCCAGCTCCACCTGGAGAACCACGGCCTCACGGAGGACAGCTGGGCAGGTGCAGGGGCACCAGGAGGTGGGCACATGTCAAAGCCTGCCACACGAGGTGCTGAAAAGCCTCAGCTGTGGTGGACCTCAGTTAGTAAGGAGCCACACACGCGAGATGCAAGGGAGAGTTGGGGGGAGATGGAAGGGAGCAGGGCAGGGCGGCCAGGGGCTTGTGGGGATTCTTCACGCTTTCTGTGAAACTTTTCTGTAAACCTAAAACTCCTCTAAAAAAAAGTCTGCTAGTTTAAAAAACTGACAGATAAAACTGATTATAAGGAAAAGGCTTTCAAAAAGGCAAAGCTACATATTTATATGTCAAGGTATCTGTGAGTAACTGATTCCTTATAAAAGTCTCAGGACCCACAAGAAGACGGTGAGGGAGGACAAGTACCCCCCAGACCCTCCACTCCCCAAAGGAAGGGGCCACCTTCCCGGACGGCCCTCTCTCGCCGTGGGTGCTGCCAAGCTTGTGCAAGTCTCCAGGGCACAGGCCCCTCTGAGCTTCAAAATAATGCCAGCACCACCGCCAGCATCCCCAGGTCCATCCCCAGGGGTGGCCCTGACCCCGCTCCAGGGCCACTACTGGCCTGGCAGCCTTGATGCCAGGGTCACGCAGATGCCCTCCGGGCAGCCTGTCTGCCAGACCCCACCCTGGGCAAAGAGGGGCCTCGACCAACACGCCCCCATGTAGGATGCAGAGACACAGAAGTAACCCCGAGCCACAGACCTGACCCTCTCTTTTTCTCGACCGTGATAAGTTCAAGAAACAAGAAAGGGTAAAAATAAACACACAAAAAGACACCATCTCTGCTCTGTCGTCTATATAGGTCAGTCGCCAAGGGAAAAGCGTCGCTGAGCAGAGAGAGGGTTGGCTGTGTTCTGTCTCGCAGCCGGCCGGCCCCGCCGTGCACCTACAGAAAGGTCCTGAGACCGAACGGGCTGGAAACGCGTGCAAGCCCTGACCTGCTGCTCAGCTCAGCTAAGCCTCCCGAGAGGCGGGGCGAGCAGCTCCAGAGACTGGAGGAGGCCCTTCTAGGAACTGCCAGCCCCACGTGTGCCCGACACTGCCTGTGGCCACTGTGGAGCCTCGTGTGACCTCCAGTCTACCTGATGGACCAGTGTGGAGCCCCGTGCCCATGGACGGGAAGCAGGCCCGCTGCCTGCAGGAAACACGTGACTCCTGCATGTGACTGTAGGCTGGCTGCTGGCTCCACCCCCTCTGACTGCTGGGCTGGATGCCAAGACAGGGATCCTGTGTTTCACCCAAAGACTGGAGCATCACTTACACTTCTAGAAAAGCCTTGAGTGATTTGATGGTAAACTAGTCTAAATGCCAAAGAAGAAGCATTTGGCAACACCCAGCCTAGCAATGGTCACCCACGTTCTTCTCTGGCGGGTAAGGACTAGTTCTGTGTCCCGGCCCAGATATTTTTATGAGGAAAGTCAGTAAAATAATCCATCTTGTGTGCTGAGCATCCTTCCCCTGAAGCCACCTCCCGGTCATTCACAAAGGCAAGAACGTGACCGGATCGTAACTTATCCAACTGAAAACCAACCGAACCCCAAACTAGCTCTCCATCTCACTCCTTGAGAGCCAATCCTGGGATCTGAAGCCAAGCAGAGGACAAGTCAGCCTGGGTGCAGGGACGCAGTCCAGCTCTTAGGCAGGGAATCAGCAGATTCCTGGGAGGAGGGAAGCTGACCAGGGGGAACATCCCGCAACTGGGGAGGCCAGCCTGGAACAAGTCCAGCCCCCCCATGAGGCAGCCCCTCGGTCCTGGGAGGGGACCCCACATATTACCCAGCAGTCCTCCCCCATGACAGACTAAGCCATCCCTAAGGAAGATCTTCAGTGTGGCCCCCAAAGTCTAACCAACCAAGCGAGGAATGAGTGAGGGAACAGACTGAGGCACTAACCTTAGGAGGACTTGACTTGAAAAGATCCTTCAAGTCTCTCTGGAACACACTCATAGGATGACCATGGTTGAATGTAAGACAGACTCCAACCTAACCTACAGCTCTGATTCCTCTGATTTCGGGCTACCCTGCAGCCTAAAATGCAGCGCCGGGCAGTGCGCCCACCGCAAGAGGCATGTACACACACACACCCTCATCAGAGCAGAAATGCACATCATGTTTCCAGGGCAGACTTCACTCTGCCCTGTGTCTCAACGGGCTCCATGGCTCTGGCCAACGCAAGGTGCCACATCATTTCAAAGCATTCGATGTAAAGGTTCTATCAAGGGAACCCATCCTGGTTTGCACCCAGGCCCCTGAGAACTAAACATTGACTCCCAAACCCCCTCACAGCAGAGAATTCGACTTGCATATTGCAAGTGCAGACCGCGGTCCAGAATCGCGTACCTGGAATCTTCGCATGTCCCGGGGGTTGCCTGCATTCTTCAAACAGTTCTGATTGCACTTGAGGAAAAACTTTAGAAAGAATCTACAAAGATACAAAAAATGGATATTTGTTAGGGTTATGAGACACAGACACAAAGTTTTTGAAAGGTACTCTTGCCTGGGGAGCTGGGGAAACAACCCCACGCCTTCTGCCGGCTGCCCTGTAGGGGGCGATAGAGAGCAGGCCGGGGGCAGCCAGGCAGGCACCCCCAGGTCCAGCGGCCAGTGTCTACTGTCTCCACGTGTGGAAGTGACTTACATTTGTCTTGACGCCTGGGGCTCTTCCAAGCTCTAAAATAACAACTGTGGCTTAGATTGGCCATTTCTCACCTGGGTCTTTGCACAACCATTAACCCCTGGGGACCTATCCACCCTAGACAGGGCTGCCAACTTCAGCAAATAAAAACACAGGATATCTAGTTAAATCTGAATTTCAGATAAACAACAAATAATTTTTTGGACAGGCCTGTCCCAAAGCATGCATGCATACTCAGTTGCTCAGGCGTGTCCAACTCTTTGCAACCCCATGGACTGTAGCCCACCAGGCTCCTCTGTCCATGGGATTCCCCAGGCAAGATTACTGGAGTGGGTTGCCATTTCCTCCTTTAGGGGATCTTCCCAACCAGGGATCAGGGATCGAACCTGCATCTCCTGTGTCTCCTGCCTTGGCAGGCAGATTAAGCCACTTGGGAATCCCAAAGGATATATCTATCCTTAAAAAAAAAAATTGTTTATCCGAAATTCAAATTTAATGGGAAGTGAATTCTACCTGGCAACCCAATCCTAGGGGCCACCACTGTGTGTGTTGCCACACTTTTAAAGGAGAGTTTTTCAAGTTACAATAAGTACACGTCTTAACAGAAAATAGGGGATGCTCTTTTCAGGGCGGCGATGTCTATGAAAGGCCTACGTGTGGTTTTAAGGGACTGATCAAGGCCCCCCAGGTGTGGCAGGGAAATGCTCGCTGTCCTGGCTGGAGAGCGAGGCGGGATGTGGAAACAGTTCTGCTCCCCACCAAGGCCTGGTCTTGTTCGGAAGCATGATATTTCAGGGGTCCCCCAAGTGTTCTGAATGCTGTGACAAAGACATCACCACCTCATTCTCCCAACGCCCACATGCTCTGAGATAGACTCGGACGCCCTGATTTATGATAGAGGCGCACAGACCCCGGGAGGCCTGGCTGTACCCCCAGCCACGGGAGAACGGGGGGTGTCTCCTTTCAAGAAGGCCAGGGGCGTCCTGAGCCCAACAAAGCGGGGCCTCAGGGCTGACACATATCCACATGGCCATCAACACTCATCTTCTCCGTTTTCCTCCCAAATCTCAATGTTCCACTGGATGATGACCCAGTTTTTACGAAGCTTCATGTGATCGCCTTGACTTCAACCTGAAAGCCAAGGTTCCTTGCAGCAGCTTATCGTCTCAGAAAATAAAAAAGATCCAGGAGACGAGATTCGCGTCTCCCAGCGTACCCGGGACGACTTTCCACCAGAGCAGAGGAACACCCGACTGACTGGCGGGGAAAAAGAATAGTGGCCACTTAATTAAATTTCCTTACATCCCGCGCGGCCTCGCTATTTTAGGCCGGAATTTACATCTTTTATTAACTCTCCTCACCTATACACTCAGCTCGCCGCGCCTCTGAACACCATCTGCCATCACGTACAGTAAGCCACCCGGCCGTCCACCCACCAATTTCTCCTAACAACCACTGTGCAATTAAGCTCCACGCGCTCCGCAGCGAGGTAAATTAGGCGCACCTGCGGCCACCCCGCGCCCGACCGCATCACGAAGGGCCTAACAAGGTGAGGGCGTCACCGAGTTACCGTCCTGTCAGGCAATTAGGTTTCCACTTTGGGGACAGCCACTCCGGTGCAATTACTCCACACATTACCACCCGGCTCATCTGCGGAGCCGGCCAGGGGAGCCCTTCATCCGGGGCCTGATCTCCCCACTCCAGAGCGGGTGTCTTCCAAGCCCTTCCTGTCTCTTTAGCCCGCTCGCCCTTTCACCTCCAGGGGGGCAGAGTGGGCACCGAGCTTGCACTGCCACGCCACGTGCAGTCACCAGGGCCTTGACCGCTGGCGGTTCCAGACAGGGGCAGAGTTGGGTGCTGGGCCCCGGAACCATCCCAGACATCTTGGGGCTCCACTGTAGAACGGGTGCACAGTCACACACACACGTGCACACGCGCTTACACATGCTGACATGTAGGCAACAGTAGGGTTTTTTCCAAGTTTCTGAAGAGCAGCGAAAGCACCTGGGAGCGACCTGTATGCCCGAGTGGGGAGCCTGCAGAGCAGGGTTCCTCCACATCAGGCCTCAGTTACTCAGGCGAAACAAGGCCCAACACGCGTGGAGACAGACAAAGGAGGAAGAGGAGGCCTGCGCCCAGTTTCTGCCCTTGTTCTTGTTCCTGGAGGATTCATCAGGCCTCCCCGAGGTGGGCGGTCCAGTCCAGCCCACGCGTGGCTGCTGACCCCGCCCACCCAGCGCGGGTCTCCACCGGCAGGGGCTCCCTGCCGTCTGGGGAGGCTGAGAACGGAGGCACATGTGAGGTCGAATGGTAATTCTCATCCTTTACTCAATTACCCTTTAATTGGCTTTTTCCTAAGGAATATCTGACAAGCACTTTACATATCTCACTTCTAGAGTCTGGTACACAAAGGATTTAATACTCTTGTTATGAAAGGAAAAATCTTTCCTATGTCAGAAAATCTTTGGCTTTAACACCAATAAACTCTTTATTACTGCTAACCATGGATTTGCTGCTGGATGGCGAAGAGGCGATAAAAATTCTAACCTGTCATTAGTACATTATGCTTAATTGTGTTAGTGTGTTCCCGGTTGCATCTGTTGGCCCATCATCAAAATGACCATTATGTACACTAATTCCCTGACCCTGTCTTTATTTCCCTAAAGAGTCATCATCTTTCACAGTAGGTACCAGAGTAAATCAAGCTTGAAATATGGGCTTTATTTACTTGTTTCTCCCAGGCAGGAGGGGAAGCAGCAGCTCAGGGCACATTGCTACACGTCAGTCGAAACTCCCCGGCAATATTCTGCTCGCAAACTGCGTGCAAAATCCTGGACAAGTCCTCAGCGGCGATGAGAAGGGGGAAGGTGCGGGCGTGTGACTTTGGACATCGGGTTTCCTCTTTTAGAGCCAGCAGGGATTAGGCGAGGGGCCCCACGGGTGAGCCCCTCTGGCGCTTAGGCGCGCTGAAAACAGCAGGCGCCTCTCTCAACTCAAGAGCATCATCCTATGAGGGTGGGCCCGGGGTCCTCCACCTGGGGGCGGCGAGGGCAGGGCCGCGGGCCCAGCCCCTGAGAGCGCCAGTCTGAGCTCGAGAGCCCAGGCCGCCCGCCCTTCTGCGGGGACGGTTCCGATGCCACTCGGGCAGGGCTGCGCCCTCGGCAGAAGGTTCAGCGTGGTCTCCGGGCATCACTGCCGCGCCCTCGCCAACGGCACCACCGGAAGTGCTCGCGGCGCCGCCGGAAATGCTCGCGGCAGGACCCGGGCGCCCTGCACGCGTCTCGGGTAACAGGGACCCACCGTTTACACCCGCGCCCGCCCCGGGTATCCCACGGTCAGGGGCGAGCCCCCTCCGCAGTGACTAATTTCAGAGTCTGCTCCCTTACTGTGTGTTTAAGCTATGAATTAGTTCATTTATATTTACTTTTATGAAGCTGATTAACCAGAGCTTCTCTATCTGATGAAAATCATTTTAATTGTAGTGTTAGGCTCCTGTGTAATATCCATTACATTATGAACTGTTTAAATTCTACATGGGTATTGTGTAAATTGGCCCTTTGTGAGCGCGCAGGCAATTAGGACCAAACACTCTCCTTTAAGCGGCTACAGAACTTTGTGGTGTTGTTCAGGACAATCAGAAACAAAGGAGGCTGTTTAATTGTAATTTAATGGAATATCAAGGAGTCCGTGGCATTAGACGTTGGCAACAGAGCAGGAGAGAAAAATTAACTGCAATTATGTTTGATTAAAGCTATCCTTCTCAATAATCAGCGGTCCTGACAGGCCATGGGGCTCTAGTGGGTTCCAGGATGGCAAAAGGTGTTGAGCAATATTAGGGCCAATAAAGGGGATATTAGCATAGCTAATTACAGCCCTGCAAAACCTGTAAAGGGGGCCTCTGTGTATTGTAATGTGTGAAGTAATTGGCCAAGGCCGTTATCAATTACATAAGGAATGAATTTGGTTTGTCAGAGAAAAGCTGATGAGATGTCTCTCATCTGACAGCAGCGCCTTCCTCCCGCTTCCAGGAGCTCAGAACTTGCCCACTTCTATCAAAAGCTGCAACTTCCCAGTGGCCAAATCACTGAGAAGGCGGTCTCGCCGGCAAGCGTGGGGTAATTAATACGGCTCATCCCCGCCGCCTTCTGCCTTACCTTAACCGAAGCCACTAATCATGGAATAATGATTTCCCTCCCTCTGGTCAAAGGAGAAATAGATTGTCTCCTTAGAAAGGCAGTGGGCTTGGCGCGCGCACCCTGGTGACTGAGGAGGAAAAGGAAACTTCGAGCCGTCTCGAGGCTCGTCTTTTGCACGTGGGTATCACATGTCTGAAACGACCTATTCACAGCCTCTCAAGAAACCCTATATGCAATGATGCTTGTTTTTTTAGATTTTTAATTGTCAAGTCTTAGACAGTCCCCGGGCCTGGTCTTGTGGGTGCTTAGAAACGGGGGACTGTGAACTTTGAGGCAGGAGGCCTTGACCCCAGATTCCCGGGGCTCAGGGAGCCCACCCCCAGGACAGAGCCTGCCTCCTGCAGCCCCTCCCTCACCAGACCCCAGCCTCAGTCCCAGCTCGCCAACCGCCGCTCCTGGCCCTCCGTCATGGCAAGGCGGGAAATCTGAGCCCACACTAAAAAGGCTGGTACCTGGGGTGGGGGTGGGGGACTCGATTTTCCATCTTAAGGCTGAGCTCTTAACAAAGCAGCAAACTAAAACCGACGGATCGGCCTCCATGTTACCCGTCAAAAGTCCCAAAGCATTTCCGAGTCATGGTTGACAGCTTCT